ATTGTTTGTTTTATTATTTGTTTGTTGAATGAAATAAAGTTCTACAAATCCCTTAAACAAACTTAAATGTAAAAATGAATACAGCCTAATGCACAGACAGTTAATAAATTCTTACTTTTAAAAGTGATTCTTTCTTTAAGACTGAACTCTCCTCTGATTAATAAAATCAGAAATCTGATCAAATCAGATCTCGTTATTTCTTGCCTTTTTGTGTTAACTGGGAGAAAGAAAGCCTAATCTTAAATTAAACGGCCCAGTGTGTCCTAACAGTGCGTTAGAGGTCCAATGTTAAGTGAAATCRACTGAGCCATGCGTCCCCCCGTTTACCCTTTCTGAAACTTGACAAGAATACTGACAGGAGGGAGGCAACAGYGGATATACCAGCATTTTTACAAATACTCATACAAAATGTCCCGATACTCTGAATCCATATTACCATAGCCAGTGTTGGTGCTTGTAATGCTTGTAATCAATGCATACCTCTTAATGTTTTCATTTATTAAGGGCTCGACTCCAAGCACCTGAACCTGAGAAATCAGTTCCTGTCTGGTTTCTAACTCAGGTTAAATCTTCCTACTTTGCTGGATTTCTGCATGTGACACAACAGTTAAACAGGCTGAGATCTGTTTCAGGTTTGAGGGTTTTACTGGTTTGGTTTTCCTCTGGTGATTTGAAGAGTGGCTATAATCAGCAGGTACAAGCAGACTGTGGAACGCCTGAAAGGCACTGGATCAGCAAAGGGAGTAATGACCRGCTGTTTTGATCAGTAGTGGATATTAAAGGGATCTGGGTCAGTGGGACTTTTACAGTGCCCACTCATTTTTAATACTACTCAAACAAGACAGTTTATTTTGTCTGATCACTAGTCCACTCAGAAAACAGCTTTTGACCACACCATTCTACTTGAAAAATAGACCAAATACGGTATTAGAGGACCAGCATTACAACGGGTGTCTAGTTATTTAAAGGACAGAAAACGAAATGAAATAAGATCTGAATTGGGTAATTTCACATGTGGAGTGCCTCAAGGTTTTGTACTTGGGTCAAAGTTATTTATTTTGTATGTGAATGATTTAGTAAATGTGTTGGGGTTGTTCAAATGTGTTTTATTTGCAGACGACACTACATTTTTTTGTTTTGGTAAAAATATAGAAGGGATGTTGGAAATGATGCAAACAGAATTTGCTAAACTACAAACCTGGGTT